AAAAGGCAAGATTAGATAAAAAAGAGTGAAGAAAGAATGAACAAAGCCCCCCCAAGAACTATGGGATTATATGAAAAGACCTAATCTACACCTGATCAGCATACCTGAATGTGACAGGGGGAATCAATCCAAGCTGGAAAACACTCTTCGAGATATTATCCAAGAGAACTTTCCCAACCTAACAAGCTAGGCCAACATTCAAATCCAGGAAATACAGAGAACACCACAAAGATATTCCTCAAGAAGAGCAACCCCAAGGCACATAGTTGTCACCAGGGTTGAAATGAAGGAAAAAATCCTATGGACAGCCAGAGAGAAAGGTTGAGTCACCCACAAAGGAAATTCCAACAGACTCACAGCAGATCTCTTGGCAGAAACCCTACAAGCTAGAAGGGAATGGGGGCCAATATTCAACATCCTTAAAGAAAAGAACTTTCAACCCAGAATTTCATATCCAGCCAAAATAAGCTTCATAAGCAAAGGAGAAATAAAATCCTTTACAAACCAGCAGTTGCTGAGGGATTTTGTCACCACCAGGCCTGCCTTGCAGGAGCTCCTGAAAAAAGCACTAAACATAGAAAGGAACAACCAGTACCAACCATTCCAAAAATGTACCAAATGGTAAAAAGCATCAACACAATGAAGAAACTGTGTCAACTAACGGGCAAAACAATGAGCCAGTAACACAATGGCAGGATCAAATTCAAACATAATAATATTAACGTTGAACATAAATGGCCTAAATGCCCCAATCAAAAGACACAGACTGGCAAACTGGATAAAAAGTCAAGACTCATCGGTGTGCTGTATTCAGGAGACCCATCTCATGTGCAAAGACTCACATAGACTCAGAATAAAGGGATGGAGGAAGATTTGCCAAGCAAATAGAAAGCAAAATGAAAAGCAGGGGTTGCAATCCTAGTCTCTGATAAAACAGACTTTAAAGCAACAAAGATCAAAAGAGACAAAGAAGGGCATTACATAATGGTAAAGGGATCAATGCAACAAGAAGAGATAACTATCCTCAATATATATGTACCCAATACAAAGCACCCAGATTCATAAAGCAAGTTCTTAGAGACCTACAAAGAGACTTAACCTCCCACACAATAATAGTAGGAGATTTTAACACCCCATTGTCAATATTAGACAGATCAATGAGGCAGAAAATTAACAAGGATACACAGGACTTGAACTCAGCTCTGGACCAAGTGAACCTAATAGAAATCTACAGAACTCTCAACCCCAAATAAACAGAATATACATTCTCCTCAGCACCACATCATACTTATTCTAAAATGGACCGCATAATTGGAAGTAAAACACTCCTCAGCAAATGCAAAAGAATGGAAATCATAACAAACATTCCCTCAGACCACAATACAATCAAGTTAGAAGTGAAAATTAAGAAACTCACTCAAAACTTTTAGTCAAGACAATCCTAATCAAAAAGAACAAAGCTGGAGGCATCACACTACCTGACTTCAAACTATACTACAAGGCTATGGTAATCAAAACAGCATGATACTGGTACCAAAACAGATATATAGACCAATGGAACAGAACGGAGGCCTCAGAAATAATGCCACACATCTACAATCATCTGCTCTTTGACAAACCTAACAACAACAAGCAATGAGGAAAGGATTCCCTATTTAATAAAGGGTGTTGGAAAAACTGGCTGGCCATATGCAGAAAGCTGAAACTGCATCTTTTCCTTACACCTTATACAAAAATTAACTCAAGATGGATTAAAGACTTAAATGTAACACCTAAAACCATAAAAACCCTAGAAGAAAACGTAGGCAATACCATTCAGGACATAGGCATGGACAAAAACTTCATGACTAAAACAAACAGCGAAAGCAATAGCAACAAATGTCAAAATAGACAGGTGGGATCTAATTAAACTAAAGAGCTTCTGCACAGCAAAGGAAACTATCATCAGAGTCAACAGGTAATCTACAGAATGGGAAAAAATTTTTGCAATCTCTCCATCTGACAAAAGGCTAATATCCAGTATCTACAAAGAACTTAAACAAATTTATAAGAAAAAAAATAACCCCATCAAAAAATGGGCAAAGGATATGAAAAGACACTTCTGAAAAGGAGATATTTATGCAGACAAAAAACATTTAAAAAAAAAAAAAAGGTCATCATCACTGATCATTAGAGAAATGCAAATCAAAACCACAATGAGATTCCATCTGATGCCAGTTAGAATGGTGATCATTAAAAAGTCAGGAGACAACAGATGCTAGAGAGGATGTGGAGAAACAGGAACGTTTTTATACTGTTGGAGTGTAAATTAGTTCAACCACTGTGGAAGACAGTGTGGCGATTCCTCAAGGAGCTAGAACAAGAAATACCATTTGACCCAGCAATCAGGTTTCTGAGTATCTACCCAAAGGATTATAAGTCATTCTATTATAAAGACACATGCACACTTATGTTTATTGCAGCACTGTTCACAATAGCAAAGACTTGGAACCAACCCAAATGCCCATCAATGACAGACTGGATAAAGAAAATGTGGCACATACACACTGTGGAATACCATGCCACCATAAAAAAAAAGAATGAGTTCACGTCCTTTGCAGGGACATGGATGAAACTGGAAACCATCATTCCCAGTAAAATAACACAAGAACAGAAAACCAAATACCGTGTGTTCTCACTCCTAAGTGGGAGTTAGACAGTGAGAACACATGGACACAGGGAGGGGAACGTCACACACTGGGGCCTGCTGGGCGGTGGGCATTGGGGGGGAATGGCATTAGGAGAAATGCCTAATGTAGATAACAGGGTGATGGATGCAGCAAACCACCATGACACATGTATACCTATTCCGCACATGTACCCCAGAACTTAAAGTAAAATTTAAAAAAAGAAAATAAAAGTAAAATAAAAGAATTAAATTGTTAAGATGTTCATTCTACCCCCAAAAGACCTACAGATACTGTATTATATGCTTAAAAGCAGCTAAGAGGGTAGATATTATGCTAAATATTCTTACCATCAAAAAATTAATTTAAAAAGGAGTGGGAGGAATCTTTGGGAGGCGACACATATGCTTATGACCTTGATGGTGGTGATGGTTTCATGAGTGTATAGTTTTCTTTAAACTCATCAAGTTGTGTATATTAAATATGCACAGCTTTTTACATGTCAAACAAACTCATTTAAGGGCTTTAATAAAATGATAAAGTCAGGCCAGATAGCAAGAATTTGACAGTGTCTTACTTGCATGTGTGATTCTTGTTCAGTGAACATGACAATTCACTACCATCGTGTAGGTATCTTTCCAAGTTACAGAGGTTTCAGATTGTCTGTATTTGATGGTACTGGTCAATTATTAATTAAAACTGACTTCCCTTGCTTCTTATGGTCTTAAGTCTCATCAAACATATTATACAATTATATAATCAATTTCCTATGAAGAGTGTATATTCTGACCAATTTTCAAAAACATTCTGGCCTACTTGGTAGTTATTTTGCTAATTGCTAATTACTAATTCAAAAATTTGAGGCTTTGTTTATACAGTCATTCTATTATGAATTTAGTAACAGATACATCCTCCTGAATCAGATAATTTCTGGTTGCCCTTGGCAAAATTGTGTTTCTGCAACTGAAAAATCTATAACTGAAGCCAAACACCTTTAAGTAAAACTATAAAATCCTAGACTATTTTGATTGCCAAGATGTCCCCTTTATGGTTTTGACTATCATCCAGAAACTAGAATAAGGAATAATATTAGAAAATATATTTTATTTGGCTACATAACATAGTCAATTGTAGTGATTAAAAAATATTAAAAAGAAAGCCAGGTGTGGTGGTTCATGCCTATAATCCCAGCACTTTGGGAGGCTGAGGCTGGGTGGATCACGAGGTCAAGAGATCGAGACCATCCTGGCCAACATGGTGAAACCCCATCTCTACTAAAAATGCAAAAATTAGCTGGGCATGGTGGCGTGCACCTGTAATCTCAGCTACTCGGGAGGCTGAGGCAGGAGAATTGCTTGAACCCGGGAGGCAGAGGTTGCAAGTGAGCCGAGATTGTGCCACTGCACTCCAGCCTGGCACCTGTCAACTGAGCGAGACTTTGTCTCAAAAAATAATTAATTAATTAATTAAAAAGCAGTCAATGGAATCTATTTAGTATGAAATATACATTCACTTTCAATATTCTTTACATGGCATGTATTCACGTTGTTTGCTGAGTAGATTATTAGTTCCTTGAGGATAAAATATTTAACACATTCCTTTTTCTTATTTCTCACAGAATCATTGTATCTAAGTATACCACAAGAAAAAGTCCTAGAGAAATCATCTCTCTGTCACTTTCATTGATCTATATAGTTCCTTTCTCCACTCAGAGTAGTATTCTCCCTCCATAAGCCAGTATTTTGATATGATTTACCAGCTTCCGGAATAAAGCCCCCCTTTCTCAGTTCATTCTCCCTTTCAATGGTACTGAATCAAACCCAGACTTGACTTCCCTTTGTTCTCTTTTGTTTCTATCCTTATATACCACCCTTATCATTAATACTTGCTCTCAACTAGCTGTAATTTTGGCAAGAATTTGATACTCTATTTCACACTTTTGGGGACATTCATGGTTACTCAAACTCAGTGAAAATATAAAACTAACTTTTGCTAGTTCTGTTGCTGACGGTCCTTTCGCAGATCCTAGGTAGCTGGAAGAATTAAATAAATGATGTTTGCAGATTTTGAGAAAAAAGATTTGGTCAGCCTATGGAATGCTGCTCAGTGATCAGAAAATATTAAAACTCAAAATGTGCTTTAAATTTGTTAGGAAGAGCAGTTTTAGGAAGGGTGTTCAGAAGAACGCCAGAATGGAGCAATTTCGGGGGGTAATAGAAGTTTGTTATAACCAGAGAAAATTCTTCTCCAGAGACTGATTGACCTTTTTCTTTCCATAGGTGTTGTATCTAAACAAATTGCTCCTTTCTTCCACGTGATGTCTTGGACTCTTACCATAACAAGTTAATGTGACATCCTCATTGTGACTGCAGTCATGATTTCCCCATCCACGATGTCTACAATCCCAGAGTGCTGACTCATTCCCCTGGCATAAAATGTCATCCAGCCAAATGGGTCTAAAGGTAGCAGAGCTACTAACAAGTCCAAAAGAAATAAAAGAAGAGGGACATCCTAGTTGCCTGCACACCACGGCAGCAGTCTTCACGTTCCATCCATCATCACATATAGTCCCCCACCTTTCTTGGAATTTCACCTCCACTCTCCCTGAACAGGAGCTGCTTCCATCCGCCAGTCCTCAGACTCACATTGGTTTCGCCTATGAGAAATACAAACAGACATATCAGAAATTGGCCCAACTTTGTGCCTGAAATCAAATCGAAAGGATACTTAGAAGATAGCCCTGTAATGAATGAAGTTACCAAAAATTTAAAAATTAACTGAGAATACTTACAGGAGGGGTATGTGAGACTTTTTTTCTAAACACAAATACACAAGCACACACACAAAAAAATCCTAGGTGAAAAAAATCCATCATTAGCATGATATTCTTTATCATTTTGCTTTGATTTTATGCCTCATTTTTCAAAAAATATTTGTTCTTTTAGTGTACCTGGTACATGAGAAAAGGCACTTAAATCGAAGCTATCTCTGCTCCCGACCTTCTTCATTTCTTTCTCAATTCAATTACAGTTACAATAAAGATATTACATTAGTAACTAATGCATTCTCTCTCTCTCTCTCTCTCTCTCTCTCTCTCTCTCTCTCTCTCTCTCTCTCCTCTCTCCCCCTCTTCATTTCTTTCTAAACTCAGTTATAGTAATTAGACATTACTTTAGACGTAAGGGAAGACATATAAAAATATACAAAATATTTGTGTATGTCTCCCAGAGGGACACTATCAAAGTCAACATAGAAACCCCTACCTCCCAGCAGATGATTCCTGACTGTAGGTCTTACTTGCCTTCTTACTCTAGTTAGACTCTTACCATAACAGGTCACAGCAACATCTTCTCTATGATCACAGTTACTGCTTCCCCATTCCCTGTGTTGACATTCCCAGAGAGATGACTCATTTCCATGACAGGAAACATCATCAAGCCAAATTTTTCCATATGCAGGCATGGCATAACCAAATGTGGTGAAATAAAATGGACATCCGAGGTGTTTGCACACGACAATCGAGGCAGTAGTGTTCCACCCATCATCACACACAGTTCCCCACTCTCCCTGGAATTTCACCTCCACTCTCCCAGAGCAGGGACTGTCTCCATCAACAAGCCTCAACTCCAAATCTGTTTCATCTGCAAGAAAGACAGAAACATACATTAGAAGTGGCAAAGGTTAGAAGGCAGAAATAATATAAGTAGTTGAGATGGATGGTGAGCATTGAGCTTAACTGTTGTTATTAAAACTTAGAGTAGAGAGAAAAGAAAAAATGAGAACATTTGAGGTGAGAAGCTTTAATTTTTCACCGTAGGGAACTAGGGACCACCTTGCAGCATAGTTTTGCTTTGGATAGTAATGTGAAAATTAAAAAAAAGGGAAAGAAATTTTTCCTTTGGGTGCAATTCTTACCAACATAAATCACATAAAAGGTAACGCTGGCTGTGTTGCAGCCAGAATGAAAGAAAATCCCTTGACTAGTCAGTTTCAAAACACCCTATATCTGAGGGTTCCACCTTACATTTTTAAAGGAGTTATTTTATATTCTTAATAATCGAAAACATCTTGTAAGATTGACATAATTTTCTACTCAATAAAATCTACAGCATTAAATACTTTTGAGTATTTATATCCTCAAATGTTTTAAATACATTCTACAAGAGGCCTTGCTGGGCAGGAAGTACCTAAACATCCATGATTGTAATAGTTACTCTACCATCCCTAATTAACAGCTATATGGACCACAGGGAGATAACAGCTTCAGAGAAGGTCAGTCCCTCAGATGACCTTTGACTATTCACATTCCCATCTTAAAAATTTGAAATAAGTAAAATGGATGATAACTTGAAACGAGTGAAGTTAATATTAACCCAAATCTACTTGTGAGCCAAAGTTTTGAAGAACAGACAAAAAAATTTAATTGGGAAACTAATATGAAGGGAGAAAACTTCAAAGCAACCATGACTTTTCAGTGTGAAACTTGATGGTTTCCGTGCATATGATAATGATGAGAGGGTATGTCAGTAAAAGCAAGTGAGCTGAAGGGAGAAGCAATAAGGAGAAAGAAAAAGAGGGAAAAAGAGGAAGAAAGAGAGAAAAAGAAAGAAAGAACGAAAAAAGGAAGGAAGGAAGGAAAGAAAGAGAAGAGAGAAAGAAAGAAAGAAAAGAAAAAGAAAGAAAGAAAAGAAAAAGAAAGAAAGAAAGAAAGAAAGAAAGAAAGAAAGAAAGAAAGAAAGAAAGAAAGAAAGAAAGAAAAGAAAGAAAGAAAGAGAAAGAGGCCAGGTGCAGTGGCTCAAGCCTGTAATCCCAGCACTTTGGGAGGCCGAGGCAGGTGGATCACGAGGTCAAGAGATCAAGACCATCCTGGTCAACATGGGGAAACCCCGTCTCTACTAAAAACACAAAAATTAGCTGGGCATGGTGGCGCGTGCCTGTAATCCCAGCTACTCGGGAGGCTGAGGCAGGAGAATTGCTTGAACCCAGGAGGCGGAGGTTGCAGTGAGCCGAGATCGCGCCATTGCACGCCAGCCTGGGTAACAAGAGTGAATCTCCATCTCAAAAAAAAAAAAACAAAAAAAAAAAAAAAAAAAAAAAAAAAACAGGGAGATAAATTATAATTAAAAAGGCTTCCCATTTCTGAGTTTCAGTCCCTAATGGCTCAGTGAGAATATATATTGCACAAGAGATAACAATATTCTTTCTGAAAGTGGACTGTGAATTAATCATAAGTCTTATAAGTCTTCATGAATAACTAGAAATTTTGGTTTTCTTATATTTGTCTTTCTCATTTCCTAGTGCTACTACTGCTTCTTATTTCTTTCTATATGTACATTTTTCTTTTTAGTTGAAATGTGTGTGAGGGGCATTCTAATGCTTGTGCCCATGTCATATAACTCTTTTTTTTTTTTTTTTTTTTTTTTTTTTTTTTTTTGAGACGGAGTTTCGCTCTTGTTACCCAGGCTGGAGTGCAATGGTGCGATCTTGGCTCACTGCAACCTCCGCCTCCTGGGTTCAGGCAATTCTCCTGCCTCAGCCTCCCAAGTAGCTGGGATTACAGGCACGCGCTACCATGCCCAGCTGAATTTTTGTATTTTTTTGGTAGAGACGGGGTTTCACCATGTTGACCAGGATGGTCTAGATCTCTTGACCTCGTGATCCACCCGCCTTGGCCTCCCAAAGTGCTGGGCTTACAGGCTTGAGCCACCGTGCCCGGCCCTCATATAACTCTTAAGTCTAATGAAACCTGTTAAAAATGTAGTTGGTACACACACACACACACACACACACACACACACACACACGTATATTCTAATATGATTGATGTTTGCCATTTCTATTTTTCAGTATGTTGATTAAGGTTTTTTTAATGTGTAGATTCTAATTTCTACTAATTTTTAGATATACCAATTTTTTACCAAGGTATAACAAAAATTATTAACAAAAATCTGATAAATTAAGAACTTCTGTTCTTCAAAAGACACTATGTAAAAAGTGAAAAATCACAAACATGGAGAATACATTAGCAACATATATTATGACTATGTACCAGTCTCTAGATTATATTTTTTTAGATATATAAATTTAGAAAACTAAGCAAAATGGACAAATGACTTCAACAGACATTTCATGGAAGAAAACAAAAGACATGACCATTAAATACATGGAGAAATGCCTAAACTTATTAGTATTTAGGAAATTGAAAATTAAGATAGAAAGATATAGCTTCATACTCTCTCGATTGGCAAAAATTTAGAACAATTTAAAATGTTAATGAAGCTATGAATCATTGAAAATACATAGACATTGCTGGTGAAATTCATCGTATCTGGTAAAGTTGAAAACACGCACAGCTCAGAACCTAGTAATTCCACTCCTACATAAAGACTCTGGTAAACGCCCACAAATCTGCACCAGAGACATATACAAGAATATTTATATCAGTACATTTGACAATAGTAATGAAAAATCCAAATAACTATTGACAAGATAATGGATAAATTCATCGGGAATATTTATTCATACAAGATAATATGTTTTACTTAATGAAAACTTAATCAATTATAGCCATTGCAACAACAGAGATGAAGCTTAGAAATATAATGTTGAAAGGTAAAAGCAAGTGTCAGAACGCTAAATGCAGTTTGATATGTTATAAGGCTTAAAATAAGCGAAACTAAACAATGCATCATTTCTGCATCTATATCTATGTCTATCACATTATTAGAAAGTAAGGTAGTGAGAAATGCCCCATTCAGGATAGACACTATCTCTGGTGGGATTGGAAGGTAGAAGAGGAAAACATACGTAGAAAAAAGTGGTTGATAAAAATCCAGTTTCCTGGTTGAGTGACGGATTTATGTGTGCCATTACATTACGCTTAACGATTTGTCCGTATGTTATAAAATGGCCATTTTGTCTAATCAAATATAGCATTAAACAGCAAGAAATTTAAAAGCATTTAAAAAAGTAAATACATTTAATCAAAAATATTTGTAACTGAACAAGAATCAGTACTAGTTTGGAACATACAAAGACATATTAATATTACCTAAGATTCAACAGAAATAAGAAAATTACACAAATAAAGTAAGCATTCAGTTAAAATAAATAATCATTTGAATACCACGATTAAATCTCAACAGCATTTAAAATGTTAATTTAGCCCAAGTGCCATGACCCATACTTGTAATTTCAACACATTGGAAGGCAGAGGTGAGAGGATTGCTTGGGGCCAAGAGTTTCAGATCAGCGTGGACAACATAGTGAGAGCCTATCTGTACAAAAAACTTTTTTAATTAGCTGGGTATAGTGGCACATATCTGAGTCCTAGCTACCTGAGATTCTGAAGTGGGAGGATTGCTCGAGTCCAGGAACTCAAGGCTGCAGTGAGCTATGATCATACCACTGCTCCCCAGCCTGGGCGACAAGCGTCAAACTCTGTCTCTTTAGAAAAAAAGAATCTACTTTAACAATAATAAAATTTTATTTGAACTACAAATTTGGCCCTAATTTAAAAAATAGAATATAATTAAAAACATTCTGTGTCAGATCTAGGAAATGTAATATATTTGAAATATTACTGAAATACAAAGCAGTTAAATAACTTCAGTAATCACTCACAGCACTTCTGGAGGCCGAGGCAGGGGGATCACCTGAGGAGAGGAATTCGAGACCAGCCTGGCCAAAATTTAATATAGGTAATAACCAATATATAAAATATAATGCAAAATATTTTAAAATATACTATATAAAACTATTAAAAATGCCACAAATTGATATTTTAAACACTTTTAGTGTTTTTCTTTGGGTATTAATATATTAACACACATCTATTTTTAATTATTTAATTCTTTGATTTCTGTATCTTGTAAGTTTTTATTAACCTATTTTTCTACTTGCAAAAATACAGTATACGTATTTTTTCAATGAGACATTTTACATTTGAAAATCATCTTTATCTGGTTTTGCACCATCTCGGCTCACTGCAACCTCCGCCTCCCGGGTTCAAGCAATTGTCCCAGGTCTGCCCCTTGAATAGCTGGGCTTACAGGCGCACACCACCACACCTGGCTGATTTTTGCATTTCTAATGGAGACAGGGTTTCACTATGTTGGCCAGGCTGGTCTCGAACTCCCGAACTCAGGTGATCCCCCTGCCTCAGCCTATCAAAGTGCTGAGATTACAGGCCTGAGTCACTGTCCCTGACTGAATTTGGAAATTACCTTTATCTGAAGGGAAAAAATGTCAGCCAAAATTTTAATATGAAATGCATACAATTATTTTGGACACCTTTATTTACAGAATATAGCTATTGAAGGTCCAACATTATTTTTACATGTTCTATTTTCCTCAAAATATGCATTTAGGGGAGTGAGTAGGGGAAAGGGATGATAGCGAATTGAAAGTCCAAAAGTTATCATCTGTCAGAACTCACTAAAACTGCTGATGAGAGAGCAGGAATTCAGGAGCAAGACGCAAATTACCACGGCAGAGAAAACATTCTGATGCCAACAGCAGCTTCCGAAATCTAGAGAAACAAAATATAGTGGGGTAAAATTTCGGGTCTTTCTAAGAAATGTCAGATGACCTCAATGACTTAAATCCAAAATAAAATAGAGTACAATAAATTATTCTTCCACCTGTCCAGGATACTACACAAGAAAGTCCTTTTCCCAGAAAAAGATATAGGATTAGTGCCTGTTTGTGATGGAAGGGCACCAAACGGTTTGTAACAAGGCAGATATTTAAGCATGATTCACTGAAAGATGGCATTCTATGTCCAAATTTTTTTTTGTGGCTGTTTGGGGTGGATTGATTAGCATTTTGGGACTAGTTATTTTTACTTCTCAACTCTTTGATTGACCATCTCCTCAGTTTTACTGTGTTTTTCCTCCTACCGTTACCGTCCTACTTTGTTCATTCATTTGCTCTTTTACTGAGTACTACGTAAGTACCAGATCTGGTGCTTTCTTATGGAAATAGAGGAATGAATAAGAGCTGTTGCCTGCATCCCACTCAGTGGCTTGTGACTGGAATGTACAAGCAGATCAACATTTGGAGGTCACTGTAATAACGGCTGATAGAGCTCACGATTATTTACCAAAGCTCTCTACTTTTCTTCAGGGTCACTATTTTGTTATTCCTACAGAATCCTGCCACTTCCTCACTTCTCCCTGTCTTTTCAGTCATGCTCAGTTCTGCATTGAGTAAACTTAGGCTACACGTGTGGGGAAAGAATAAACGGAGATAGGCAGGAGCAATACAGAAGCAAAGGAGTTGAGAATTTATTCTGAGTTATTTGGAGACTTTAAAGAATTTAATCAGGGTATAATAAATAAAATTGACATTTTAGAAAGATTGTTTTTTTGGTTTTTTTGTTTTGTTTTGTTTTTTGTTTTTGTTTTTGTTTTTTTTCGGACAGAGTTTCGCTCTTGTTACCCAGGCTGGAGTGCAATGGCGCGATCTCGGCTCACCGCAACCTCCGCCTCCTGGGTTCAGGCAATTCTCCTGCCTCAGCCTCCTGAGTAGCTGGGATTACAGGCACGCGCCACCACGCCCAGCTAATTTTTTGTATTTTGAGTAGAGACAGGGTTTCACCATGTTGACCAGGATGGTCTCGATCTCTCGACCTCGTGATCCACCCGCCTCGGCCTCCCAAAGTGCTGGGATTACAGGCTTGAGCCACCAGGCCCGGCCTAGAAAGATTGTTTTAAAGGTAGATGGGATGATTAATTCATAGAGATTTACAGGGTAAATAAATGTATAAGAAATGCTTAAAAATAATATGTATCGTCCTGTTTACTTGAGGGGTATGTAATAGTTGTAAATATTAGAGGAGTATCTTAAATAGTAGTTTCATTAGGGTCTTATGGAAAAGATGAGGTCAGAGTCAAACTGAGCATGTGTAATCCCCGACAACAAAAAACAAAAACCCTAAGAGGACAGAGGGAGCAGTACCCATCGAGAAAGGTCCATCCTGCTTGGGCTGTGCAAGAGCGGAGACAGAAGGCAGAGTGCTTTGGTGGACATCTTTAGTTTTTCAAATGATGCTTTGAAACTAAATGGATCCTGGGCACTTCTCTAAGAAGTCATCCCAAGTGAGTTTGACAACAGTCAGCGATAACCATAGAGGAGACGTTATAATTATAACTATCATTAGTTGCGTCCACCATTCTTGGAAAATGTACCCAAATCAAGAGAAAACCCTCCCTATAGAACCAAACAGGGAGAAATAAGGGTAGAATGGGCAACTAGTATCCCAATTTCCTTTTCCATCTTGTCCAGGACACTTAGCAAGTTGGTCTTCTTTTTTCTTATTTCTTTTGTTCCTAATGATAAGAATATTTAGTTACATCAAACCTCATGTGTAGGATTATTCTAGGAGGCCATTACATCTGCCTAAATCCCTCCAGGAAACTCTGAGTGCCCATCTGTCAGAATGGTTAGAGCTAAAAATGAACTATAAAGAAAAAAAGAATCTTTACTAAGCTCTGACAGCAACACAATCAAGATCTGATGAATGTGAACAAACAGTGCGGTAGGAAAGCCTTGTGATGGAGAACTATTAAAGTGAAATTGCCAGAACTCGTGACCCTCTATATATCTAATACCATCTCACCAATTCAAGACCTTCAACTTTCCCATCCCTTTTCTAATTAGATACCTGGCAGACAGCATGTTGAAAGTTAAATAATACTGTCTTTTAAGTAACACACAGGAATTATGAAGGACGGTCATTCATTAAAATGAGCCTTGCTAGATAGAAGGTAGCTAAGCTTCTCGAACTGTAGAAAGCCTTTTTCAAAAAGGAGGCTTTGAAAAATATCAAAACTTCTGCTGGTTTTCTAGACATGTGCTGGTCTTTAGTCATAAGCAAAATAGTTACAAAACACTAAGTCGACTTGTAGTAATTGCACAGAGTAATGGCACAGAGACACAGTGTCAACGGAAGCAGCAGTGCCTATTCAAAAGCCTCAATCCTATTTAGGAGTTCTAAGTCCCAGAAACAGCAAAAACCTCCCTATCTGATTCTTTATTTCCACTAAATGTCCATGAAATGCAAGTTAAAAGATTACGACTAATTTTTCAGATGTGCTCTGAAGTACTTCTCAGCCATATATTCTTTCTTAATCCTTACTCTTTTGGGCCCATTAAAAACTTGTTCTTTGTTTTTTATCATTTTTATTTATTTGCTTTACAAAAACTTCCAGCAGAAAGAGCAAGGGCTCAGACTTAACTGGTCCTGAATTTAAACTGTAGATTCTATTTTATGACTTTACATAAATCAGTTATCTCTTAAAAGTGTTAATTTTCCATCTACCAATGGAGACAATAATATCTGTAAAATAGGTTACCTGTGTGAATGAAACTGAAATGACCTAAAGCATTTACTGTAGTACCTGGCACTTGATACCAATAAATATAAATTTCCAATTTATCCCTTCTTTCCATTTCTGCAACTTTATATCCTTGTGTGACTTCAAATCTCCAGTCTTTATAATACATTTTCTGTTGACTTTATTAATGATTTCCTCCTTTCTTGGAGTTCAATTTTGCCTCCAATATTGCTGCTACTCTAAGCTCCACAAAACTTCCATTTTTTTTTTATATTTCTCATATCCTGTCTTTTTTTAACCTTACCACATAATATTTATATCTGTGTGTTGTTACACATATTCTTACCATACCCACCATCTCCCAAATGGCAGAGCAAAATAAAAGCAAACCCTTACCAATATGCCAAGAGTTTTGAGGCAGCATCATTACGGGACTGTTTCTTCCTGAGTCTTAGGATTTAACTCCTAGATCCTCTTTTATATAACCCCAGAAGTGTACTCATGAGGTGGAAACAGATCTGTTATTTGGAAATGATAATACTGTAAAATTGAGTTCATAGTTCTCGAAAGGAGAAGTCATTATAAAAGCTGAGGTTGTTTTTTTCTTTGCTACTTCCTTATCACGTTAGCATATGGAAAACACAGGAAGTTAAATAATACGTCTGGAAATCTCACAGAATAAAGGGAACTGTAAATTGCTACTCTAAACTTTCAAAAAGGCTCATGTTTTACACTTTAAAATGTTTGTTCTATAAATGTGATCTTGTATGCAGAGTTTTATATTTATCTAAAAGATAAACTATATCACCAGGTTTGTTTGTTTTAGCATACGTATTTCAACCAGTTATACTAAAAGGGTCAGAAGAGGTTATATTGCTAAAAACTGGCTAGTCAATGAAAGCTTTGCTGATGAAACATGAGCACAGATAAACATAAATGACCAAATTTTATGTCTATAAAAATGTCTAACAAAATGAGTCCTTTAAAATTAGTTTTTCATTGTTAACGATTATGTGAAACAAAATAAAGCTTAGTCATCAAATGAGTTTGGAAAACATTTGTTTAAATGATTTCAACCATTAGGCAGAAAAACGTGAGTGGCTTCTGAGCTCATAGCGATTGTTCTGTGTTCTGGTGGGCCTGTATGTCCTGTCCTGCTTCTTTAGGAAAATTGCTTTTCCCCTTCTATATATGTTAAGAATGGTAGATTACATCTTTTCACAGGCCTGTGTCTTCCTGATTACAGTGACATGCTCAAGGAAAAGCCAGTGACTCAAGTGAACCCATCAGAATGTTTGCCAGGATTTTTTATACCATATACTTCAATGTTGTGTAAGGCTATTAGTAAAAAAAAAAAAAAAAGCTAGTATATACAGAAATTAAAATGAGATATAAAATATCTAGATACTTTAGATAAGTAAGTCCTTATAAATATCCATTGATAAATTCAAGAACTTTGCTTTTTCTTGTCCTTTTCAACTTAGATACATGACAAGCCTTTATACAATTCTTTAAGTAAAATTCTGTTGCAATTAATGCCAAATGTATTTTGAAGTCTAATTAAACATCAGAGCTTGCTATATATGAGTGAGGTGTGCCTCTGAAATGATAAGGTGCCTCTCTCAAAATGTAACCTCTTTCTTACTTCTCAGAACTGAGGTAGATGGCCAAAGTCAGAAGAAATCAGAAGGAATACAGGGAGAATATTTTCTTGGAAAAAAATTTATCTTGAAATGAAATGTCTTTGGGGACATGTAATTTACTAAGTAGGATGGGTTACGTGATGGAAGACACAAAAAGAGGATGCTGAAACTTGTTCGAGTATATCATTTATTAGCCATACTTTCCTGAAATTTTTGAAATACAGTGTGACCGGAAACCTTTTCATGCTAACAGAATCCATAGCAAACTGCCGCTGGTAAACTGATCTCACAGAAGTGGGAACTGGAAACATAAAACAATGAAAACCTGACATTGCTATTCTTTGATAGAACATATGCCTCTACAATACATTTGCTACTGTTTTAAGTTTTTCCCATTTCTAGACTCCCAAGTTCTCTCACTCTCAAATATTTGGTAGCAGATTCCAATTAAATGAACCCCTTTCATACCTTTACAACAAAAAGGTATAAGGGATGTGATAACCATCTCTTTGGGGCAATAGTTGGATATTCTGCTTCAAGATCTCACACGAGGCTATAATCACAATGTAAACTGGGGCTGTGGTCTCAGCTGGAAGCTCGACTGAGGAAGGATCTGCTCCCATGGCCACTGTTATTCCATGGATTTAATTATCTCTTCAAAATTTATAGATTGAACCCCTAACCCCCCAGTGTGACTATGTTTGAAGATAGGGCCTTTAAGGAGGTAATTATGGTTAAATGAGATTATAAGAGTGAGGCCCTAATCCAATGGGATTGATGTCCTTATAAGAAGAAGGGACAGCAGAGCCTGTTCTCTCTCTCACAGATGTGCAGAAGAATGGCCATGTGACGACACAGACAAAAGGTGGCTGTCTACAAGCCAGGAAGAGAGCCCTCACTAGAAACCAGATTTCCCAGTACCTTCATAATAAACTTCAAGCCTCCAGAACTGTGAAAAAATAAATTTCTGTTGTATTTAAGTGAGTTACTCTATAGTACTTTGCTATGTCGATCCAAGCAGACAAATGCAGATTTTGGTACTGAGAAGTGAGATGCTTCTGTAACAGATAACCTAAAAATGTGGAAGTGCCTTTGGAACTGGGTAGTGAATAGAGACTAGAAAGGTTTTCAGGTGACTGTCAGAAAAAGCCTAAATTGCCATGAAAGGACTGTTAATAAAAACATGAATGCTAAAAGCAATTCTGATGAAGTCTTCCATGGAAGTGAGGAACATATTATTGGAAACTGCAGAAAAGATGATTTTTGTTATAAAGTGACAAATAATTTGTCTGAATTGCGTCTTAGTGTTTTGTAAAGTGTAGAACTTGTGAATCACCACTTTTGATTTTTGGAAGGGAAGATTTATGAGCAATGCATTAAAAGCACAGCCAAGATTTTCCTAATTGTTGATGGTAAAAGGCTAGAGGGGAAAGATAAATTGACAGCATTGTTAAGCAAAAAACAAAAGCAACCCAGAACATGAAGATTTGGAAAATTCTCGGCCTAGTTATATAGCAAAAAATTTATAAAGTGTGTTCTGGAGAGAAAATCAATGGTGTGGCTCCTCAATCACTCCATAAAGAAATTAAACATGATTTTTTTAATCCACCTTACCAGGAGCCAAGAGTAGAGATGGGATTATACCAGCAGAGACCCTGCCAGTTTAGACCAAACAGATTAGAGATAGGTTGAAATAAATCATGGGAGGCTTTCTGACTGCTGAAATTCTGTAGGATGAGACAATAGAGATACTCAGCTGTGAATATGCTTTCCAGGAAAGGGACAAATGATGTTGAAGGTGATTCAGAGGTCATCAGTGCTGTCACGCCCACTATAGGCCCAGGGAAAAGACTGTTTGTTTTCAGTTTCAGAGGATGAGACCATCTCCTCACTTTCAATAGATCAGGCTGCCTCCATCCAGTTCCTCAGGGATAGAGCTTCCACAAAAAGTTAAGGGGGCCAGGCTGCTACTTACAGCTGTGGTGGTGATGCTGTCACCCCTGTGGGCTGGAGGGCAGAAGATTCAGCCAAAGATAATTACTGCTGAACCTTAAGATCTAATGGAATTTCCCACTTCTCCTTTTTGGAATGAAAATGTCTGTCTTATGCCTGTCCCACTATTGTTTTTTGGATGCACATAACTTGTCTGGCTTCACAGGTTCACAACTGGAAAGGAATTTTGCTTCAGGATGAATCATAACTTGAGTCTCACCCAGACCTGATTTAGATGAGACTTCGCACTTTAGACTTTAGAACTGTTGCTGGAAAGGGTTAAGGCTCTGTATGTTATTAGAATGGGGTGAATATATTTATCATGTGAGAATAACATGAATTTGGGAGTGGAGGGTGGAATGTTATGGAATGAATTTTGTTCCCTCCCAAAATCCATAGATTGAAACCCTAATGTAACTATATTTGAAGATAGGGCCTTTAGGGAAATAACTAACATTACATGAAGTTATAAGAGTAAAGACCTAATCCAGGGATTACTATCCTTATAAGAACAAAACAAGACACACCAGAAAGCTCTCTTCACACATGCAAAGAAGAAAGGCCATGTGACGACACAGAGAGAAGGTGGCTGTCCGCAAGCCAGGTAGAGAGCCCTCACCAGAAACCAAAGTTGCTGGCACTTGAACATGGACTTCTAGCCTCCAAAACTGTAAAAAAACAAATCTCTGTAGCTTAAGTCACCCAGTCTGTGGTATTTTGTTATGACGGCCAGAACAGACTAATACAGTCACTATTATGGTTGTTGACAGAATGTTGTAATGAGGGGCTCAGTTTCTTACCAAGTTAGACTGAAGCTGCCCTTAGCTTTTTGCCAGGAGGACATCACCATAGAACAGAAAGAGTGTGAAATCTTGTGGAGAGGAATATGGAGTCACAGTTCTTTCTAACCTAATATTGAAATAGATATCTCAGCACTTTTGCCATAGAAGCAAGTTACTAGATCCAGCCCACACACGAAAGGAGCAGATTTCACTGGGCATGAATACATGGAGGCAGGCATAATGTGGAACAATTTTGGAAGAAGACTACTAGTGAACAAAAACTAGACCAGAGAAACCAAAAGCTATAGGACAACATGCAGCAGACATATAATTGGAATACCAGGAGAAAAATGATGACAGAATAGGGCAGAAGAAATACTAGGAGAAATAATGGTTAGGAATAATGACAGACACCAAACCACAGTACAATGTACTTAAAGAACTCCAAGTAAGAAAAGTATAACACACACACTCACACACACTCTATCTAAGTATAACATATTTAAACCTGCACAGGCATGAGAGAGAGATATGGCGTGGGGTGGGGGGGACAGCCAGAGGAAAAAGCGGCATTGCATATATAAAGAGAGAAAAAAATTCAGATGACCTATTGTCAAAATTGTGCATGCATGAGGACAATGAAGATGACATCTACTAAGTGGTAAAAGAAAATAACCTGTCAACCAAGAATACTCTGCATTGTGAATATATATTTCAAAACTGAAGGAGAAATAAAAAACCCTTAAAGTTTGAGCGAATTCATTACCAGCAGACCTACATTAGGCTTAGTGATTTACTTCCAAAGCACAGCGTATGGAAGACAGTAAATAACTTTACAGTGGAGAAATCTAGCAAATGCCACTTCAAACAAATGATCAAGGGTGATGTCCCCAGTGATAACATGTGTATATCATGTATGCCCTGATATTTTGTGATGAGTAGGGCACTTTACCTCTGTGGTATTCTTTCCCAAACCCAATTACTCAAATCTCTTCATGAGTAAAACATGAGGCAAACCCAAAGTGAGG